AAAACTCCAAGAGGCCTGAGTGGAGGGAGCCAGGGCAAGTGGAAGAAAAAGGCAAGAGAGGAAGGAGGGGTGAGGAGGTCTTTAGAAAAACATGTCCAAGTTAGATCCCTCCTGTTGTTTCTTGGATCTTCGTGTTTTTCCTTTAATGAGAAGGTGAGTGAGTTAGCTCCTGAGAGTCCTCTCTGGGGCTTCCTCCCTCACTCAGTTTTTGAGCCTCCATAGGAACAGATGTTATTTTGAAACATTGCTTTGATTCCACATGCCTTTAAGACTTCATTCATTCAATAAATACATATGAAACATCTTTTATGTGCCTGCCTGATTCCAGGCATCTGGGACACATCAGAGGAAAGTAGAGTTAATGACACATTAGACAATTGTGAAGGCAAAAGACCAACGATGGAGAATATGGGTTTGAATGCATGTGTTTTTAAAAGTGATTTAGGACAGGACTCAAGTTAAAGAGGACTTTTCGCCAAGGCTGGGCAGAGTGGGACCCAGCCTTAGAGTTATGTTCAGGGAGGGGGAACAATTGATGGTCAAGGAAGGAGTCATTTCCAAGCTGGGGCAAAAAGCGTCAAAGCATTTTGATGCAAATGTGGCCTAGGCTGGTGTGAACAGTCAAGACCATTGAGGGTCTTGGAGGACCCCAGACCCAGTGTGGCTTTGTTTCTGGTTCTGATGGAGAGCTGAGCAGTGGCATGCATGTTCAGCCATTTTTGGAAGGCATGCTCTGACCATGCTGTTGAGACTAGATGATGAGAGTGAAGACAATCAAGAAGACTAATGAGGAGTCCTCATTTCATGATCTAAGTGATTGGGATGAGGCAGCCTGCAGGGTGCGCACCCACTTTGTAAGGTGAGTTTGCTGAGAGAGAAACATCTCAGACTTTTGAACACAAACATCATACACAACTGAATTTAGAAGTCTGATTCCCAAGACAGGTCTGAGCTGAAATATAAATGTTGGCATCTTCACTGGTAAACAGCAAGTAGGGCTAGTGGATGGTCAAGGTCAGTAAGAGATAAATGAGGACAAGAGGAAACACCAGAGGACAAAGCCCTGAGCTGCTGAGAGCAAAAGATTTATTGCCATTGCCACTGAAGGAACTGATTCACTATCTGACTCAGGTGTAATACCTCACACATGTCATACCCTCTTTATGGCCTAAGAAATGGGATTGCCTGGTATCAAGAATATGAGCTTATCCTGTACAGGCAAATGTTTTTTAAAAGAGAAAATCATAGCAATAAAGAAACTACACACACACACACACACACACACACACACACACACACACACACACACACACGAGCCTTCCAAACTCCTTGGATTCTACATCTCTGGAAGTAACCAAGCATGGATTGAAAAGATTCCGACAAGAAGTTGCATCTTTATGGAACAGGGAGGCACATTTCTCTTTTGTATTCCCTAAACAATACTCATTAACAACTACCTACATGGCACCCACAGTATGCTAGACACCATAAGTAACCTAAGGACAACTTAAAGTTCTCAAGAGGACATGCATAGGTGACTTGTAAACAGGACTCCACTCTGTGTGGTGGACTTTGTACTAGAACCGGTCTTCCATAATACCAAGGGGAAAAAAACCTTCCAAAATACAATTACATCACAAAATATTGAAGAATATCATGTTCAGTAACTTTACCCTTACTTACACACTAATAATAACTCAGTACAAAAACCGAAAGTGCTTGAGTCTGGTAAAGACAGTGGGGCTGGTGTACACCACATACATGGAGTCCTGGGCAAACATAGATCTCAGAAACCCATCCACATCTGGTGGACACCGAGTTCTGAAGGTTAGGAAGGTCCCCAGCGCTTCCCTTTTTCCACCAGTCCCACCAATTTAAAACTATATTATGCAATAATTCTATTGTGCATATAATCAAGAAAAATTAATATTAGAAATTGTGATTTGAATAGTTACAGGAAATTTATTCTATGTTCAAGTAAACAAAGCCTGGCACAGTGCCACAAAGTGAGCCAAACTCCAAACATGAATATTCGGCCAGGACAAAGAAGATGCCCAGCTGCAGAAAGAGTGACGGCCTGGCCTCTCCGGCTCTCCGCTTCCCTCCATCCTCGCTTTTCCACAACCCCCAGCACTGCCCTTTTCTGCTCATCTGCGGTGAAGATCAAAGGGGGGAGAGGGGAGGCCTGTGTGTGTCCATGCACTTAGGGAAAATTGCACCGTGCTCCAGCAAAGAGTCAAGAGTAGTACTCAGAGACGTAAATGCAATATGCCCTTCTCCAATTCTACACATACTCAATAAACTCTCTCTCTCTCTCTCTCTCTCTCTCTCTCTCTCTCTCTCTCTCTCTCTCCTCTCCCTCCCTCTCTTTTCTCTCTCTCCTCTCCCCCTCCTCTCTCCATCCCTTCTCTCCTCCTTTCTCCCCCTCTCCCTTCCCTCTCTTCTATCTTTTAATTTTACAGGCCCACAATTTGCTAGCACTAAGGCCCTCTCTTCCCACAGATGTAGGACGGCATTTTTGTGAGAATCTATAAACCAGCCTCTACTCTGAAAGGTGTCAACAGTAGCATCAGGGAAATATTGAGTCTCAGAGCTCATCATTAAATGCACATCAGGGTGTATATGCTCAGCCAAAGCCCTACAGGAATGGTTGCAGTGCATATCACCATCAACAATAGTGTGTATAAGGCCAGTGATTTGTGAAATAAAAAAAAAAAGTGATTGAGAGGAAGATTGTCTGCCTGAAGGACACTGCTCTCCCTGGGAATAGATGCTCACACAACCCTCGGTCAGATTCAGGACACACCAGCATCTCCTTGACTAGTACACCCTGGGAATAGCTGCTCACACAACCCTTGGTCGGCCTCATGACATACCAGTGTCTCCTTGACTAGTACATTGTGTAATAAATTTAAGGTTCTGTATTGAATCACTTCCTTCCTTTTAATTTCAGGGAAAGAGGGGTGCAAATGATTTCAGGTTGCTCCCTCACTTGCTCACATTAAATAAATCTGCTCAATAAAATGTTTTGAGTTGGTAGCCAATCAGCACAACCCCTTGATGATCATCATTGGCTAACAAGGTCATGTTCCTGCTCTTTCTTTTGCAACTAATCAATACCCACATCTCAAAAACTATGCATCAGACACACATGTCTAGGTTTTTTTGTTTCTTTGTTTTTCTAAACAGTTTATGACAGAAACATAGAGTCACCCATGAATGGGAAGGGATTCTCCCAGAGTGTCTTAGTCACTGTCTGTCTTAGAAGGTGCCCTGGGGAATGTTCCAGAATCATGAATCAAGTCTAGCTTGAAATGCCTCAAGTCATGGGCAAGTTCTCTAAAGAAGTTCACTCCATATATGGTTCTTATACTTGCTGGAATCATAAGCACTGTTTTCTTCTTTGAGATGTAAATTTTAAATATGCCAAATTTTAAATTAGCCTAATAGATTGTCCTCTTGATCCAGTCTGTAACAATTTTCAGGTATAACTAAGACACTTACTGTATTTAATTGCTTCAGCATGGAATAATTAACTGATGCTATTTTAATAAATGTCATGCCATAAGTGCAGCCTACTTTGTAAATGCTGAAAACACTTCTCATGGGTATAAACTGGCTGGGTTTCTTGGTTTAATGCCTTTGATACACAACATCACATTTGACTCTCTTTATATTTAATGGAAGTATATATAGCAAATGAATTCCAATGGCTCCTTTTATGCTAGTATGTTTTTTTCTTTAATATCTTTTTGTTCAATTTGGAACAAAGAGAAATTTCTAGAATCAAAGGCACAGCCTTTAATTTTAAAGGAATTTTCCTTGCTCACACACCTAAAATATCCACTAAGCTAACTGTTCTTTTGTTCTGAGCTGATCAGCTACTAAAGCTCAACCTTGTGGAGATTAAACAGTAGCTGTAGGAAGTGCTGGTCCGTGATGGCAAGAGACTGCCATAAGGCAAGAGTGGCAAGGATGCACACTTGGTAGACGTCTTCAATTCATTATTTCGGAGCTGAAGGCCAATGAAGAAACTTACCTCATCTGCTGTCCAACTCAGGGCACGAGATCACAACGTAGCTGCCTGCCGTTGGCTTTGCAGCCTCCGGAGCCACCGCTGAGGCTGGCTTTTCCGCCCTCCCCCAGGTCCTCTGCTCTGAGTCTGAGATTTCCCTGTTAAGGCCTTTCTACAGCAGCCTCCAGCTGCAGCCCATGCCCAGCCCCAAACTCCAGAGGCGCTGTGGGCCCCAACCACCACCAGAGTTAGCTGCTCACCAACAGCTGGCTCTGTCTTTCAGGTGGCCCTATCACTTCTTGCCACAAGGGCTACTTTCACAAGTCCCCCTGTGTCTACTTTTCAAGTAGCTGGCTCCCTCTCCCCATGATCTCGCTTGGGCTTCCCCTAGCTTTCCTTTTGGCCACCACCACGCCAGTCAGCCTCCCGGCTTTTGCTGCTGCTGCTGCTGCCGCCACACACGGCCAGCCCCCAGCCGCATGCGAGTCGCTGCAGCTGCCCTCAGCCGGGCTGTGCACCACACACATTCTCTGCCAGCCGTGCTGCACAGTGACAGCCAGCCTCACACATCGCAGTCGTCCTCAGCAGACCTGGGGGGACACCTAGAAATTCTTAAGGGGGAGGAGTTAGTTGTTTTTTAAAATAAATTCCCCATGTTAAGAATGGGGAACAATATTACAATGCAGGGAGTTAGGTCTCTGTATGGTTCCACAATGGATTATTTGAAATGGAAAAATTAAATGAAGGGATAAATCAGCCGGGGCTGACATAATGTCAATTATTATCATTATCAGTTTGGTAGTTCATGTTTTATCCTTAAAAGAAGGTTGTTTGATATCGGTGCCAAATATTAGAAAGCCATACTAATGAAACTAAGAAAAATATTCACACAGAGAGGAGTTCAGAGCAGAACCTACCACACCAGTGCATTATAAAACTGAAGAGGAGTGGCTCAAGGTTGTTAGAAAACCAACCTTGTTCTTTCTCTTCAACGAGGCGGCCGAGCAGACGCCAACATGCAGATCTTTGTGAAGACCATCACTCTTGAGGTCGAGCCCAGTGACACCATTGAGAATGTCAAGGCCAAGATCCAAGATAAGGAAGGCATCCCACCAGACCAGCAGAGGCTGATATTTGCCGGAAAGCAGCTGGAGGATGGCCACACCCTGTCGGACTACAACATCCAGAAAGAGTTCACCTTGCACCTGGTGCTGCGCCTACGTGGTGGCATCATCGAGCCGTCCCTTCGTCAGCTCGCCCAGAAGTACAACTGTGGCAAGATGATCTGCCGCAAGTGCTATGCACGCCTGCACCCCCCCACCCCCACCCCCCCCCCCCCCCACCCGTGCGGTCAACTGCCGCAAGAAAAAGTGCGGCCATACCAACAACCTGCACCCCAAGGAGATGGTCAAAAAAGCTGGGGCCGTACCTGGCCCATGACCCCGGGACCAAATAAAGTCCCCTTCCATCGAAAAAAAAAAAAAAGAAAGAAAGAAAACCAACCTTAATGTATCCAGTTGTCATTCAAGAACGACCACCAGCTGATAGGCACCCCCTCAAAGCTACTCAGAAGTTAGCAGGGACCCCAAAGCTGTGTTGGAATTGAAGAGATTTAAGGAAACGATGGTGTCATATGGTATGCGTTCACCTTTTGTGAAGCGGACGTTAAATTAATGGCCCTCTTCGGATCGAGGGCAAAAGAGAGGAGGTCACTGGGCACCCTGTTGCCACTCCTCTGATTGTTCAGCTTCTGACCCCAATATCTGACTCATGAGCTTTGATTGATAAAGAATAATTACATAAATGCTTATCTATAGATGATAGCAATATCTATAATCCAGGCCTGCTGTGCGGGTGAAAGTTGGTATTCGAACTGGGAGTTGTTGGAGGCATTTGTCACAATTGGTAATCACTGGGAGGTGCCACCGGACTAAACCAGAAATACCCAGTTACTTTTAACTCCCTATCTCACTGCCAGTTGTTCAACCTTCTGTGCCTAGAAGCTTCCCCTGTCATCTGTAGGATGAGTCAGTCCAGCTTCTAGCGTTTCACTTTCCTATACAATCATGCAGTTAACTTGGGGAAAAAACATTTGAATATGGACTTTATAAAATTATGTTTTCTAAACGCTTTAGTAAATGGGCTGCAGCTACGGTCACTACTTCTAACACATAGCATTTGGATGATGAATGTACCTTTAAATATCTAAAGCTGTCAAAAGTGGTAAAACAGTAACTTTGTGGGCACTGTGTTGACTAGCCTTTGGTAGAACTATGTCATAAGGTCTCTTGCGGTCTCATCATAATTATATTCATATACACTTAAATGACTTGCATATTGACTTACTCTCTGACCTCTTTTTTTGCTGAAATATGATAATATATTTCAGTCATCATTGCAAAAGTTATACTGAATACTGAGAAGGATTTAAATAAGTAGAAACCCCTAGACAGGCTGGCTAGAACATGCTACTATAGCTGTTTTAGATGGCCAGGTGTTAAAATCTAGGACAATGAAAAATACACCCGACCCCTAATGGTGTATAATTTCTTGTCTAGAGAAACAATAAGCAGTGTGCCAGGAGGCTATGTGAAGATGATTACTTGCTATCACTTGTGATTGCCAAAGTCATGAAGGAAGGTTTCAAGGGAGGACTCTAGATACAACATGAAACATTCACAGGGAATCTCATTAAATGAAGTTTACCCTTACTTAACCAAGTTTAGATGTGTTTCGTCTTAGTATGTATGATGAAAAATGAAAACAAGTATGAGAATAACCCACAATTCATGACTCAAGAGTAATCATATCCATCTTATGTGCCTCAGGAGTACATGTAAACCATATGTACCTTGTATGTGGATTATCATGCTGCATATTAAATCAGAGGCCTTCTCCTAGGAGCCAAGCAAGCTATCTTTTAATTTCTGAATGGGAAGGCAGGGAAAACACTGAGACTAACAGATAGTGAGAACAGTCAGAAGTGAAAGAGACAGACAACTGTCAACCCCATTACTGAACTATAAAATAGAGAGAAGAAACAGACAATAATGACAAGGGAAGATACAGGCAACTGGTCAACCCTACTAGTTGACCATAAGGTAGAGAAAAGAAACAGAGACAGTGATGACAAGGGAAGATACAGGCAACTGGTCGACCCCACTACTTGACCATAAGGTAGAGAGAAGAGACAGAGACAACAATAACAAAGGAAGAAGCAGACAACTGGTCAACCCCACTACTTGACCAGAGGGTGGAGAGAAGAGACAGAGGCAGCAATGACAAGGGAGATACAGACAACTGGTCATATTTTAAAAGCTCACACTCTTATCTGCACTTTGGTAAGAGAATTGAAGATTTCTTCCTTTCCTTATTTAATATCATGTATTATGCATATATGTTTGTGCAGATTTTAAAGGCTAGAAAGATGACAAATATTACACTGCATCAGTTTTAGTTGTGAGATTGTGACTCATTGTCAGATAATCTGAAATTTTCTATATTTTAATTGTTTTCCAGATGAGAAAATAATAGACTAGAGAAAAAGGAGACCAAAATTCTAGTCTTTGTCTCATACATATGCAACTATATATACATCTATATGTAGCCATATACAACTCTCTATAGTACATAAACACACAAACCTACATATATACTTACACTACATACCTACATAACCCATGTATACACATACATACACACATACAAAAAAAAAAAAAAAAAAACTACATCACATCCACAGACACCATCCAATCCATGAGACCATTTAACCCTAAAACCAGGGAGTGGACTCCGGAGTGAAGATATACTCCTGAGAGCCCAGGGTGGGACTGTTTCTTCTCGGATGCTTCAGTCCTCAACTTCACAGTATTGGTTCTAACTGCCTCTCCAGAGACAAAAGGAAACAATCTCTTGCATTCTCCTACCTTCATTGGCTCTTTGTCTACTCAGCCACCTGTCCTGTACATCAAAAACACAGGCCTATCTGAAAAGGTTGGGTGGCTGCCACTGAGACTCCAGCATAACCTTTTCTGTAGATACCAGAAGCCTGGCCTGCCTAAACGAACCAGGAGGTGGCCTTCTCCCTCAGCCAGCACAGCAGCTGGAAGGAAGCAGGAAGCAGACACAGACAAGGGGAGGTAAAGTCAGCAGGGGGGACAGGGGGACTGGGAGAGGTGAGGCTCAGCAACAGCCCCAGGATGAAGAGAAAAGCAGACATCAGGAAAAGAGAAGTCAAGCCAGAACAAACACAGCTTTCTAGGCTGACATGGCTGACATTCCAGTGAGCATGTCATCCCTGGACAGGAACATGACCACTTCAATGAAAGGAGTGGGTCTGGGTCCCATCTGAGCAAAAGAGATAAGAACTGTCTAGAATCTGCAGGCAGCGCTCTTCCTAGCACCGACTCCTCAGCAAACACCTGCACGGGCTGTGCGTCTTGCTGCAATGCCATCACCACCAGCTCAGGGGTAAATTTAAACAGGCTGTTATGCCTCCTGCAACTCCACTTTCTTCATTACACCCCAGCATCAAGCCTTCAATTTGAGACGGCAAGATACAGCCATCCTCACTCATGGTATCTGACACGACGATGAAATTCCAGTTGGGAAAATTGCTTTATACAAATCCCAAACAACTCTGATTTTTTTTCCTCCTCCTTGTCTTATAGATCATAGGAAAACACATGAGATTCTCACTTTGCCTTACATTGTATGTGTGAGGGGGAGGGGGGTGTGATCTCTTATAGGCATCTGAAAATATTACAGTTTCATATATTTTAATGCCCCTATCCGCATAAACAGGTGTGTTGGTAGCAAACAATGAAGTCAGTATGAGATTTCTAATCACCTAGAAGGAGCTGTGAGACTCAACAAGCATTAGCAGAACTGTGTCTCAGCCAATGCTAAACCAAGCTCTCTTCAGCAGCCAGCAATGCGTGTATAATATGTAACAGCAAGATCGAGACAGGAGTTATTTCGGTAAATCCCAGGTGACCATCCCAGTGAATGCTATAAGTAAGATTTCACAACATGGGGGCTCGGCTCTGTGAGTCGACTTTTCCATACTAATTTTAAAAATCCCTTCACCAGATGTAGGTTTCAACTGTGCTAAGATTCGCCATTTTCATTTTTGTGATTTTTCTCTGACTTCTCAAATTCCATCATAAAACAGGACAAGTGATACAAACACTATTTCTCTATTTGGAATTTAATATGTAAGATAGAACTTTTTTTGTTGTTCTTCTTCTGGAAAAATGTGAACCCACATTGTTTCAAACATTGGAAAATTATTCCTCTCATGGTAAATCTAAAACAGGGTAATAAACTGTGAAGCAGTTGGGTGGAGCGCCCCAGATTCCAGAAGTCTATGAAATTCAGAGGCCCCCAAGTTTAAAAAATAAAATGTCTGTTTATTTTGTCCTTAACACATTTCTAATTTGTTTTTCCAGATTGTTCTTTGTTAGCAAGGGAAAGCTATTTTTGTATTGTTGCCAAGAGACTTCAGAAACCAACAGCGTGATCAAAATAATAACTTCCTATAATGAAACAGTCTTGCTGCTTCAGTGATATTCTGTTCTATATTTTTTTCTGAAAATGTAAATTAAGGGCGTTTAGCATTGGTGACATGACCCCCAAGGCTCTGGAATCCTACACTAAATCAGCCTGCCCTACTTCACTCCCGTCTGGTTGGCAAGAATTTCTCTTTGAAGCCCTCTAGCATTTTTGAAAATATTCACAGACATACATGTTACTACTAAATGCTACTTGCTTGAGGTTTCTTTTTTAAAAATAATAGGTAGGGCTGAATAGATGGCTTAGTGGTTAGGAGCACATACTGTTCTTGCAGAAGCCCTGAGTTCAGTTCCCAGTACCCACATCAGGTAGCTCACAAACACCTACAATTCCAGCTCCAGGAAATCTAACGCCTCTGGCCTCAAAGGGCTCCTGTACTCACATACACAGACACATACACCAACACACATAATTATAAAATTAAAAGTTAAAAAATGACAGGCTACAAAAAACATAATATAAAAAACTATTCTGAATTGTCAACAACAGTGTAAAGTTTGAAATGTCAGTTTTACTCAGTACCTTTTCCTGAAATGTCTCATCTATAAAGTAGGAAATAAATTGCATGTAATTCCAGCTATGCTAAGATTAAATCTTTTTTCTCTCTTACACACAAAAATATGAAATACAGGTTTTTGCAGTTTGCTTACACTACAATGAATCTTCCTCCACTAATGTACATGTTGTCTTGTGAGATATAACTGTATGCTATTGCCCTACTGTAGTTGACATTACATTAAGATTAGCTTCTAGTGATACTTATAAAATGCTATCTTTAATATTCATATGTACTAATTTTGTGTCTTGCGTTTTCTGCATTAAAACCATCAGTGAATTCTAGTAAACACAAACCAAGATGGCTTGTGAGATATGAATATAACAGAGTCACCCTATGGTACACTATAAATTATATTAACAGAGTCAGGAAAAACTT